GCACATCATCTGGTGCGAACAGCTGGCTTTGAACCACTCTTGACATTTCATTGCAAGCTCAGCCCCAACTTGATGAAAAAAAAAATAGTTCAGGCGATAAGGTAAGCATTGAAAGAATACAAAACCCCAGGTTTGCAAGATCATACTCCAGTTTTTACTTCACCCTGTGACACAAAAACAGCCTTTTAAATGGACTATAGGGACAGTATTAGATAAGCAAACTGATATTTGAAGACAACCATAAACCTGTGTGTAATGTCTCATCTGTACCTCCCTATTTTATCAAAGAAAATAATGTTGGCAAGCCTTTCAGGATTGTGATTCCAATTTAGGGCAGGTGTGGAGAAAACTGTCCTCTAGATGTTGAGGGATTTCAGCTTTCATTAACCTCAGCTAATATGGGCAGCGACACAGAATAATGGGAGTAGGCACTTAACATGTGGAGGGACACAGTTCCCCGCCCCCAAGAGTGTGTGAAGGAAGTTTTCCTGGTGGAGAAACAGTTGCATAGTGGTACGTTAGAATAATTCACACAAATACTGTAGTTCATAGTGCTATGACACAGTGTGTGTGTCTGTAAAAATTATGACAATGAAGAAAGCCTATAGGTCACATTCTACTCTGCTTGTGTAAAAAATGAGGCCAATGTTTAGTGAAGCAGGAGAGTGAGGTCTTATATGACTGTCCTCTCTCCATGCTTATAGAGCAGTGATTCCCAACCTTTTTCAAGTTGTGACCTTTTATAATAGCCAAGTAATCTGTGACACAGACACACACACCCTGCTATGTTTGCATAAAAAGGCATTTGAATTGGGTAAAGCAATCCCTTCTCAGAAAGTAGAGGCTTCTTTCTCCCCCGAAGGCCCAGTTTTTAAACATAAACATACACACTAACTTTAGTATCCCACTCCGAAAGCTCAAGGAAGAAATTATTTCACAAGAGCTACAATACATATAAGGTGGCTAACACTCTCCTTGGGGGTGGTGATTCCCAGGTTGAGAAGCAGTGTTATAGAGCAATGCTAAAAAGCCACATTTGAAATACACAAGCTTTGCATCCTGCACATTTTAAAATCTCCAGGGTTTTTTGGTACATCATGCCAAAAGTATGAAATAAAAAAATACAGTTTTTGAAGTAGAAGCCCTGTTAGTCTTTACAAGCATATCAACAAGAAACAAAGCAAAACAAAAATATTGTGGCACCTTAAAGAATAACTGTTATAGTTAATTAGAGCTTTTGTAGAACAAGTTGATTTCTTTGCACATAGGGTAAGAATGCAAAGGCTACATGGCAAAACATGTATACATGGCAGAAACAAAATATAGTAATGAGCCCCAGATTTTACCTTTGAAGCTGGTTCTGTAAAGGTAGTTCTAGTAGCTGGGAAGGAACCTGGGCTATGGAAATTAATGGCATATAACAGCACACTTATTGTCGTATTTCACATTTGGTAAAGACTTAAGGACCCCTGACTAATAGTTTATCTGTTCAGCATATGAATAACTTTTATCTCAGCTGTCTCCCTCTGGATTCTTGTTCTGTAATTTTTCTTCTCCAGAATAGCAACTTTCACATAATGTGAAGAGTGTTTGGATAGACTGAAATGATGTGAAACAGGTTTCTGTGTATTGTCATTCCTGATGTCCAGTGTCTATTAATTCCTATGTGCAAAGGCTGTCCCGTTTGTTTTATATATAGTGCAGAGGGGCATTGTTGGCAAAAGATGGCATAGATCACTGTGAGGCTGTGGGTGAGAGCAAGGCCCCTCTCACGGGAGTGCTGTCCTTCCCATTCTCTGCCGACAAGGAGGTGCAAACACCACCCATTCCCCTCCCAGGAAGATTAGACCACCTGAGCAAAACCCAGGGAACGTGGAGGAGAAACTGAGGGGAATGTCCATTGGAGAAAATGGGAATATTTTGGCAGGAAGAGAACGACAGCCCTGGGTAAAAGTGGAGGCGGGGCTGGGAGATATAAAGAAGGGGAAGGACAGCTTGCCTCGTGGTTGGGAGTGGATATGGCTAGAGGACCTGTGGACTGGGAAGGCGGAGAAGCTGAGGGTCCCAAGATAAGAGGTAGATGCCTGGAGAAGGAGTGAGCTTATTAAGCCCTCTTATTGGGGGGAGCTTGAGACGAAGGAGTGGAGGAAGAAGTTGAGGAAGGAAAAGGAGAAAGCTGAGAGGGAAAGGAGAGAGAGATTGGAATGGATGATGATGCTGCAACAGCAAAGAGGTCCTTCAGGAGACTTTTGCTGGAGAATGGCTCCTCCCAAGACCCAATCTCGGCAGATGACTGGGACGAAGATACAGTACCCCTATTGGAAGGGGAGAATGGACAATTATTAAATGCAGACTGTACCCTGGACTGGCTGGGTCCCTGGAATACCCAGGAGACTAATTCGTTCAAAGTTGAAGACTGGAAGCCCTCTTCTAACCCATTGTTAGAGGGAGACAATGGTTGGAATACGTTTGTAGATATAGGCTGTTTGTTAAATAATCCAATAAATGTGACTCCAATTTCCAAACCAAAGAAGTCTGCCAATTTATTCGAAGAAAAAGTGGAGCCAGGACTCGAACCCTCACAATCACATAAGTAAAGGGGCAAGTAAAAATGCGCTTGATTTAAGTCAAGACTCACTGATGCTCCACCTTAGAATGTGCTTTAACTGCTAGATCTCTGCCCTCAAATATTTGCAGCATTAACAAATGCATTTGAGCATGTGCAGAGTGGTTTTTCACTACTAGCCAAGGCATCCATCATGGACCTGAAGCTAAAGATAAAGGTGTCATATCCAGGCACAAATTGGACCCTAGAATCTGTTCTATAGGAGAGGGAAATGTTTCCTTGGCTATTGTCAGTTTCCCCAGATATGTAGATAATGAATTAAAAATTGCCTGAGCCATGTAGACTTCTCAAATTACATGGCTTATTTGTTGAGTCTTTAAAATTCCAAGTCAAGGCTCTACCTTTATCAGTCATAATTTCTCCCTGCTTCACCTTTCAATATTGAAGTTAGTCTTTTTGATCAGACAGCTCTGTTCTTGCTAATTGTCGCACATGAATGCAGTAAAGAATCTATTTCTTCATATAGGCCTGAGGAAGAAATAGGGCTTACTTGCTTTGTCCTGTCCAAGTTATTACTTGCACAGCAATGGTTGGAGAATTGTGGGGGGAGAGAAATATAGTGTTGTCAGAATCTGGGGCGACTGAAAGTGTTAGCTGGAGACAGTTACTAGGCAACGGCCTCACCATGGGACATGAGCGAGCGGAGAACTCATCGTTCTCGCAGCAGCTCGTGGCGTTTGTTTGTGAGAGAGGAAGTGAGTGTGCCATAATGAATGTGTGGCTGTGTGTCACAAATGGCTTGCAGGTGAGAAAGTGGCAGCGTCTGTTCGAAGAATATTAGACTGTTTGCCCACGCAGGCTGTCCATCTCCCTCAAACAAAGTCCCAGTAAGAACTGATGAGACAAAGATTAAAAGCTTCTGTGCCTGCCTCTGGCTATGAAGCTCAGTAAATGGAAAGGCCATTTGTGGTGTCTTGCTGCCATTTAGACAGGGCTGCTCATTGTGCTAGGCATTGTCATTCCCTTCTGACGGAGGATGGAGCTCTGTGTGCTGCATGACCCATCTTATTCCTCTAAATTGGCCTGGTGTCCTTAGGAATGATAGAGGATGCTAGTCCACAAGCAGTCAAGTTAGCTATTGCATACTGAGTGGGCACTGGAGCACTTCCTTGGTCTTTCCCCTCGGGGACTAGCATGTCTCGAGCTGGCTTTGCTTACAGGAAAGGAATGGTGGGTTGTGACATAAGGGAGCCAGGGCTATGTAGCAAGGTGAAGTCCTAGGACTTTCTCAATAGGACAGACTGTGACATCAGCTGCCAACTTCTCCTTGTAGCATCTGATCTTACCTGAAGTCTTCAAAATACTTGGGAGACAAACTGGATTTTCTCAGTAATACCACATTGTGATAACCTGTCTTTATTATGGGGTGTCGTAAGTCAGAAGCAATTGTAATAACAACATCTCTGTGGATAGCATGGAATAACAACGCCCCTGACATATAGCAAAGTGTTTGACAGTGGCTTGGTCTTCAATGGGCAAGTCAGAATCACTCACCATACAAAAGACCTGCTGTTTATTTGTTAATATAAACTTATCCTGCTGCTTGTATTTGTTAGACTCTTCTTAAAGGGGGATGGTTATGTGGACTGCTATGATGAAGACTGCTTTTCCAAAATTTACTGCTACCCCACTGGAGTTGGGAATAAAATGAGAAAATCACACATAAGCCACACTAAGCTCCATAAAAGACCAGGCCAGGCAGTAGTACAATCAAGTATTTTTCAGTTCCAGATTGAATCAGTTTACAGGCGATGGTGGGTGCATTTTAGATTGTAATGTATAGTCCTTCACTTTCATCAAAATGAGGTAAGCCAGTCCTGTTATATTAGCAGGCTTACCTCCTCATTCTGCTGAGTGAGGCCTGGACATTGACCCCCAGACCCTGCTGTCATGACAACAATGTGAAACACAACAGATAAAGGAACAAAAAAAAAGAGCCACTCTTAAAATGTTTCTCATTAAAACAGTTTGTTGTATAATGTATCTAATACAGTAAGGCTTATTATGGGAAAAGAAAGAACTAAGTCATAAATTTATGTATTCGATATCAAGAGTTCCAAATGAGTGAGATCTTTAAAGCTTGCAACCCCAACAAACCTGTTTCCTTTTCATTTGTTTACATTATCAGTCATTGACGATGTATAGGTTAAGGGAGAAAATTGCCATGTTGCCATTCTGGATGGGCCACTGAGGTTCTGCAAAAATTTGTTGTGTGAGAAAATGATTTGAAGAGACTTGTGTCATTGGGCAATCTCCTGCTATTGATTTTGGAGTTTGTTCTGTTCTTGTTAACCTTGATACCACCTGATCTTCCCTTATCAACATGGTTAAATTCATCTGCGACCTCTATTTCTACCCTTTTCTTACTGAGGATTTCTGCATGAACAAAAATCTTTGCTGGAGAACCATTTTTTCCCACTGCAAAGGATGGTCAGTACGTAAGTGGGGAAGTTTCTTGATTTTTTTTTTAAGCTACATATTTTGCTGGAAAATCTTGAACCTCTGCCCTTTTCCTCTGGACTGTAATGCCGGGAAAACCATTTGTTTTGCTACATGGGATTCTTCAACCCTGCTAGGGGACTCAAGCTACACATTTCTTTTCTTACTCACATGTAGAACTTTGCCGTCTAGTTGTATCTTGCTTCCAGAACTCCAAGAGGATGGTACGGTACCTGCCTCCTTTCATCCAAAGGAAGCTTAAAGCCATTGTTTGTTCTCTCCTCCTGTTAGTGGTCCTAATACACATGGTGTTGGACTTGACACACTCCACAGGCCACGATTCTTGTGAATGTACCCTCAAAGTAGCAGATCCTGTGGGCCACCCACTACTTAATCACATACCGTCAGTAGAGAACAAGCTGAATCTGAGGATTCTTCAAGACTTCAGTGGTAGCAACAGTTCCCTGGAGAAAGGATTTCACTCAACTGAGCTATCACACAGAGACAGCAGGAATAGCACACTTGTCCACAGTCAGAATGGCGAGCAACAAGCAGAAGAAGAAAAACCAACGTGGACAGGAAGATCGAAGCTGGCTGCCCTTTTTGAAAATCCACTCTATATGATTTCAAATCCCAAGATTACAAATAAAGATAAGTTGTTTGGTGCCAAACCAAAACTGAACTTCTTTGTGAAGAGTAGTGGGAGCAATGAAAGGTGAGACATCCACCTTCTTCCAGAAAGACAGCCGCAGCTCCTCAACCTGGTGGTACTAACAAAGCAATGGCCATGTTGCTTGGTGTGATGAGAGCAGTAGTCAACCTCATCTGAAGTCTGCTAGGTGAGGTGAGGCTAATTTGGCACACATTGCCATCCTCTAGCTCAGCAGCGTTCAGATGTGGTAGACTACCACTCTTATTACATCAAGCAACATGGCCCTTTCTTTGTTAGAGCCATCAGGTTGAGGAAGGCTACTTTACCTCCTTTTCAGAGATAGCTTGGTCTACATTCATACATACCTAGGTCATATAATGTTAGTTAGTTCTTTTCTTCCTTCTTTATAAAGACCAGAACCTGTTAATTGTGAAAATAAGAGGCCAACGCTTAAGTTGTGTTTTATCAGTTTGTTTTCTTACTATCATTATTGTGGGGTATTGAGGGTTTGTGAGATTTAATCTTGTGTAAACTGCCCGGTGTAGTGCTTACACAAACGGGGCAGTATATAAGTCAAATCAAATCAATCAATCTAAACTTAGGGACCTGCATATATTGGGCTGAATAGTTCAAGTGTTGCTTACTGTACTAAACTGAATATTGTTTCTAGCATTGTAGACAAGTTATTTCCTGGTGTCATTTATGCCTTCTAAAAGAGCAATCTTCAGTACAGGTGTGAGAAGTCCAAGGCAAAAATATGACTTAGAGCTTATTCAGAAAGAGCATTTGTTCCTATAGAAGTACTGAGTTCTGCACAGATACCTTTGGCGTTTTCCCCTCTGTCAAGATGAGGCAAGGTTTAGCCTGATATCTTTTTTTCTGCTATGACATTCTGAAGGTTTTTAGTCATACCCCCCTCCACAAAAGCACTGGGTAAAAACTAGTGGTAAACTGTGACTAGAGCAAGCCTGTTGGAATCAATGAAACTTACAGAGGACTTGAATAACCAAATCTCCACTGGGACTTCTCTAGTTGTGACTTACTTACTGGGTTTCAGTTTATTATGGATTTTGTTCCAATAGGTGGAGCTTACAGGCATCTTTCCATAAATTTCATTTTTGTGTCAGAGGCTTCTGGATGGAATCTTTTAATTAGTACAGAATTCTCTCTTTTAAAAAAAATGTCCAGAAGCGAAACTCCATCAGGGAATGAAGTTTCTAAGTTCTACTGTTAAGTTTTTTGAGGGTTAGGGTTTGTAAAGAAATGGTAAAAAAAATGTCATTTGAACATGAAATCTCTCAAGCTTTCTTTCCATTATGACCAACTGCAATCAATTTTTTTAAAGTATTTATATAAATCATGACAATCCATCATGTTACAAGTAATACATACAAGGCTTATAATATGATGGATTGTCATGATTTATATAAATAATAAAAAATTTATTGCATTTGGTCATAATGGAAAGTAGGCTTGAGAGATTTTATGTCCAAAATGGCATTGGTTTTTTTGGGCAGAATTGGGGCAGAATTTTTGCCTTGCCTGTTAAGCCCTTAATAATATGAAGTGCACCTTTCCTATGCGTAACCTCAGATTTGAGCCACAGTGACCTCCGGGTGTTAAGATCTTTTTCTCCATTGAGGTTGTTTTGAGACTGTTGTTGAATTAACCTAGAAGTGGGCAAACTGAGATCACAGAGATTACACGTGGTCTGTCTATGTCTTCTTTTCCCTGCATTAGCAGTAGATAAGTCCCTCTTTCCAGAGCAGAGAGGTAAGACTAGTTTGAAAGCAGAACTCCCACCAGATCATCACTTTCAAAGGCCTTCCCCCATTCCTCCTGCTCAGCTGATTGATTGCTATAACTGCTGCTAACGCACTCTTGTTTCTTGGTCAGCCCCATTTCGCTATATTGCTCTCATAACTCAGCACCTGAGTTCATTATTAATAGATATGATGCCATGATAAAACATACACAATGCTCTTTTTTCTGTATGTGTTGTGTGTGGGGTCTGCAGGGTCAACAGTGAGAAGGCAGATGCGACTCTTCAAAAACACAATGCCAGTCCTCCTTGGCTACATTTTTACAGTGGCATCAATCGCTATGAACTGTATGCTCGCCATGACCCTGCTCGCCAGGCCTTGATGGATGATTTGGCCACACAGAAAATTATCAGTTCAGGTACTATCATCATCATGATCATCATCTCACCTTTCTCCCAATAAAGGGACACCACTACTAGCTATAGGCTGACTAGTCAGTCATTCTGATAAATAAATAAAGAGAGAGAGAGAGACATCACTTTCAGATTTTCCCAAGCACCTATCATTTGTTTTTCTTGTTGTTTCCATTTGCCTCGCCACCTGCTCTTTCCCTCTTTAGTCTTCACTTATGCTTTTCCCAAGCACCTATCATTTGTTTTTCTTCACTTTGTTGTTTCCATTTGCCTCACCATTTTCTCTTTCCCTCTTCAGTCTTCACTTATCCCTCTACTGGATTTGATATCTGGCCAACTAAACCATGTTGAGCAGACTTTTTTTTCCCTATGGGGGGTGGGGGCTCTGCCTTGATGGGACTGAGCCATACAGATTTTGCCATCCTTTTTCTCCTCAAGAGAGGAGCGCCAAGTTGGTTTAGGTATCTGGCTATGAAGCCAGAATTTGGGGGTTTGATTCCTGACTATGCCTCCTTGATAGGGCCTTCCAGTTCAGCAGTTCTAAGATGGTGATGATGATGATGATTCTTGCTCATGTCATTTCAGTCCAGAAGCCTGGAGGGACACAACTGAAGCTGATCATGTCTTTCCCAAATCATGGGGAAGCCCTCTTCAAACCTATGAAGTAAGTAAAACACTTGTGATAGCCTTGTGAAGTACAATAGTCTGGATTTAAGCTTCTCTTCATGCATTGGAACACACTTTGAAGGCTTCCATTTGGAGAACAAATAATGCTTGGAACATTTTGTACTACGAAGTTAATTAGCAACCTCAGGGACTCTGTACAGGAAGCTGATGTAGTGACCTCTTCCTTCCCCTTTATACCACAGGTAATGAACCAGGCTGGGATTAAATATAGGCAGCACGTGCACACAGATCTTCAGTGTCAAAAGCTCCTGAATTATAACCATATTACTAAGGAATAAATCTGCCACCTCAACATTTCCTTCTCTCAACCAGTACTGGTTGGTAGGGGTGTTATCCTTGAGCATTGCCCAGGTTTTCTAGGGCCACAGCCAAGATTCCTCCCATTCCCAGCCACAAAGGAAAACACAGCAGTTCTCCTTCTGTAACGTAGGATGGTAACTGATGGAGCTACATATTCAGGATTGTAGAACGGGAGCATTTTCAACCTTCTCTGCATATGTGCACTGAAGGAGGAGCACTCCACCACTTCTGACTCCAGTTCTTCACTTGGATTTCTCCTTAATTAGGTTCGGACAGTGAAGTAATGGAATAAATCTTCCCTTCTTTTGGGCAGTATGCTCTTTTCTGCATCCTCAAATGAATATCATTTGTAAAGGACAGGTTTGCCCTTCTCTTGTATTTTCAACAGGGATCTGATTTTCAGAAGAAACAGCTTTTCATAGTGTGAAGCTTTTAAAAAGAATGTCAGATGCTATAGAACAGACTACTGTACGATTAAAGGCACTGTTCTCTTTCAGTGATTGATAACCCTATGTGTCATAGCAAAGAGAGGGTCTACAAAAACAGCTCAGGTTCCTAATAGCCTGCTGTATATCACATTTTAATTACCGTATTTTTCCATATATAAGACAATAGGGTTGTCTAAAATCTTTAGACTAAAAATTGAGGGTCGTCTTATACACTGACGCAAGGAGGGGAAAGGGGACCAATGCACTGCAGGATTGCTTTGATCCCTCTTTTCCCCTTTTTTGCTAAGCCCCATGAGGAAAGAAAGGAAGCAAAGGGAAAGCAAGGATCAAAGCAACCGTGCAGCACTTTGATCCCTGTTTTCCCCCTTCACTTTCTTGCCAAGAAAGTGGAGGCAAGAAAATGGAGGCCACGTTCAGCAGGGATCAAAGTGCTTTTATCCCTGCTTTCAGCACTTTGATCCCTGCTTTCCCCCTCCACTTGCTAAGCCCCACTTAGATTTCTTAATTTTGCATTAGAAAAGGGGGTGTCTTATACATGGGGACATCTTATACACAGAAAAATAGGCAATTTGGACTTATGGTGAACCTCCCAAGATTTTCTAGGTATAAAATACTAAGAAGCTGTTTACGATTACTTTTTTCTTTGGCACTCTAGACCTCTGCAATTTGCTCAAGGCTACACAGGCTGGCTCATCTTGCAGGAGACACAATGGGGAATCAAATTCCTAACCTCTCACCCTGCAGCCAGATTCTCAGCAAGCTATCGAACAAATTATGTTTTCATTACAAATGTTGGAAAAATATTGCGTGTTCTCAGGAACAGATACCAAATTTCAGACCACCTGGCCTTTCCTTAGGAATCACCACACCATGGTTGCCTTTAAAACGCACAGTCTTGTTGCAGTTTCAGAGATATGTGGGATAAGGTTGGTATTTGTTCACAATGGGTACTGTCACCATCACTGTTGTGCCAAAACTGGTATGTGTGTATGTTCTGTGCTGTCAAGTTGGAACCAACTTATAGCAACCCTAATAGGGCTTTCAAGGTAAGTTAGATGTTTAAGGAGTGAGTTCCACTCCCCTAGTGAGTTTCCATGGCTGAACAGGTATTCAAATTCCATTTTCCAGAGTCTTAGTCCATCACTCTATCCACTACACCACACTGGGAATCCAAAACTGTTAGTGCAAGCTATTTGGCTTTACCGTTTACATCTAATTTCTTCACAGTTTCTGTGGACTTTTTGCACCACTTTTTAATATACTTGCAATCACTTAAAATAAGATACATAACAACAAATGACACTGTTATCACTATTCTTCAGATCAAATTTAGATCCTACAGTAAATGGCGAACAACACATCCCTCCATGTTGTGGCTTGTTTTTCAAGGAGAACTGTGCCATCTGGTGGTGAAAGGTTTAAACTGGACTAAGTTTTTCTTTCCCATGTAGTGTAATGGAAAGAGCATTAGACCAAGACTCAGAAGAATGGAAACTCACTGAAGAGTGGCAATACAGTATACTCTTTCACCCTCTCACTCACCTTAAAAAGCCTATAGAATGTTAAGCGCTGTCCAGTCACATCCAATTTATGGTGACCATCATAAGGTTTTCTTGATACAAGAGATGTTCTAGGAATGATCTTACCAGTGCCAAACCCAAGTAAGTTCCTATGTCTGAGTAGGGATTTGAACTCAGGTCTCTTGGGTCCTAGTCCAATACTCTATCCACTATACCAACTGTCCTTCAGAAAACCTATTAGGGTTGCTATAGGTTTGAGTCAACCTGATGTCACATAACAACATGTTTTCTTAGTGGATCACTCCGTCTGCTTCCAGATGAAAGGTCCCTAGTGCAAAATCCACTGTACAACTGTTCCATTTTAATGGGGCTATATCCTCCTCTGGAGCAAAAAGATGTAAGAAATAATAGCGAAAGATGAGAGGACTATAAGTTGAAGGTAGCAACTTCTGAACCCACCGGCACTCATTAAATTCCAGGTACAAGGCAGGACAGTTGCAGATTAAAAACCTTGTTTGGAAGCAGCATCTGTTTAAAACAACAGTTGCTACACTATTATCTGGGTCTTGCCAACACTAGTTTGAATGCTCAGGATTTAGGGACAAGCTGTAATTAAAAGGGAGAACACGAGAGGTCCCAGTTTCCATCTCTACAGGCAACTGCTGAAAACTGTAGAACCCTGAGCAGCACTGCCCACATGAGAATCAGTGAAGAATCAGATGTATCAGTGATCTGATTCGGTATAAAGCAAATTCTTATGTTCCTACTAAAGGCCACAAGAAGAGCTTGGGAAAATTACCTTTTTTGGTAAAACTCTCAGAGCTTTAATTTTTTGTATTCCCCAAGAGAGAGGTTTCTACACTTTCCCAGAGTGATCACCAGATGTCAAGTCAAATGTAGGTGTGATCTGAATGCTAGGTGGTCAACCTCTCTGAGAATCCCACTCTACCTTTCTCGTTCTTCTTCCTAGGCAGACTAGAGATCAGGAGACTCCTGCAGACTTCTTCTACTTCTCAGACTTTGAGCGACACAATGCAGAAATAGCCGCCTTTCACCTGGACAGGTGAGTCCATCTAAGCCTTTCACTCAAAATACATCTGATCTGTACTTAGCGTGAAAGCAGAAGGGTAGCGCATGGGATGGCTACAGCCTGGTGGTAGAGAAAATCCCAGATTTAGTTACAAGAGGAGCCTGGAACACGAGGCCCGAAGGACCTCAAGATCTGCTGTGAGTCAGAATACGCATGCGGTCCGATGGTCAGGTTCTCTGCAATGTACCTTCAGATCAGAACAAATGATTTGGGCTACGTACTCTGAGATCCAGTCAATGAGACAGGTTGAGTCCAGTAGTAGGGAAATTGTGACAGCTCCAGATATTGTTGAGCTGCTATTCCCATCACCCTGGATTGTAGATGGTGTCATCCAGAGGTGATGGGAATCAGAACTCAACCACAGGTGAAGCCCATGGCTGTCCTCTTCCAAGGCCACAAAATTGTGCCAAGATCAGATCAGAACAGGAATGGCTCTGTCCAAATCAAATCTTGGTTAAGGTAACTGAGGATAGCATAAGGAACCTGAAGTGTGGCAAGCAGAAAGCACTGTTTGGCCAGCCTTGCTCAGAGTCAGTTCCCATATTTAGGTAGTGTGAGGTAGCTCCTTCAGACAGCAGACCTGATGGGTCACGAAAGAACAACAAATTGTAACTTAGGTATTAATATAAGGAGCAGTGGTACAGTGCAGTCAGGGCTCACCCGATTTAAGCCCTGGACATTTCTGATCAGCAGGGACTAGGACATCATCAATCATCTCTTGGCTCCCCAATCCCATCTGCAATCTTCACAATAGCTGGGTGTGGGGGATGGATTTTCTCTCAAACACATGTTTTTTTCATGGTATTGTCTCATGGTAGCTCTGTTGTCATGCAAAGTATTTGAGGGTGCTAGAGTTGAACGGACAATGAAGAGCCATTAGTTTTACAATAAATCGGCTTCTCATTTGTTGATATGGAATAAGATACAGTGGACCCTCGACTTACAGACGGCTCGACTTACAGACTTTTCGAGTTACAGACTTCTCTGGCTGCAAAATTTAGATTCGACTTGGAGCCAGAGAATTGACTTACAGACCAGAAAAAAAACAAAATGGAATAAAAATAGAATAAAAACCACTGGTTATGGGATTAATCGGTTTTCAGTGCATTGTAGGTCAATGGAGATTCGACTTACAGACTTTTCGACTTGCAGCCACCATTCCAATACGTATTAATTCCCTAAGTAGAGGGTCCACTGTAGCTGCATGCATTCTTGCATCTTTCCTTTGGAGAAGATTGGTTATCAGTGATAAGCACCTGTGCTTCGAGATTCAACACTTTATGATAAGGAATGGGAGAGAGGAATCTGTGGGAGTTTCTGCCTTGCATGCCAGAATAATGTGGTGGGAGCCAATTTCTTTTTTTGTCTTGGACAGTAATGTTGCTTGGACCAGCTCTGGCCAAGCTCCTGGTGGGCTGTTCAACTCTAAGCTTGCCCAGGACTGGGAATAGGGCAAGAAGCAACATAATGAGTCTCTGAGCAGGTTCCAAGGCTCTAACAAGGTCCACCACTGACACCTGTCATGAATCCCCTTTTTAAAATGGCCGTCAGCTCTCAGAGATAGGAAAACATTCACTTATTTGGAGTTCTTATCAGGCCTTTGGCTGTAGAATAAAATTTGTTGTTGTTATTTGGAGTTCAGCTCCCAGTTGACCACAGTAGCTGTGGTTTTCAGTGAAAGGTAGTCCCAGCAACCAAACATTTTCCATCTATGCCAGTTTGGAGCCAATAGACAAAGTCTATTGGGGGCATTGTGGAAAAGTGAAATGGTAGTTGGTGCTCTGTACCTCTGGTACTCATAGAACAGCTTCCCACCTTCATATTCCAGGCCACCAAGGTACGCTCAGATCCACTAGTAGAGGTTTCAGCAAAAAAAAAAAAAATCCTTTTAAAGCTGGGGCAGGCCTACCATAAACACAAGGTTTATGGTAGTTCGCTGGGCACAGTCTCAGGCATAGCATTCACTCCTGCAATCCCCAAAAAACAATGTTCTATCAAATGATGGCAAATCTAATTGAAAAACACTGTTGATTTTCATCCAGACATGTATTCTCTGAAAAGGAAAAGGGTTTGTTCATGTCTGTATCCAGGATTATCTATTCATTTATGAATAGAATTTGTTCTAGTTCTCAGTTTTGTTTTTCTTTTTGGGGGAAGGATTCTGGATTTCCGAAGAATTCCTCCAGTTTCTGGCCGTTTGGTGAATATAACCAAGGAGATTCGTGACATCACAACCGACATGAAACTGTTTAAGACATTCTACACCTCTCCAGGTCAGCATCTTTTCTGTTGCTCTGTTTTTTACATGATGAATACATCTGGACCATTGGGGGAGCAGAATATACCTATTCTGCTCGTGCTAGTTCATCTTCAGTCATAGTGATAAGCTGTGGAGATTTAGTTGGGATGCATGCTAGCTGCTTTCCTCTCCTCTTGGTTCATAGTAGCTTGAATCAGTGACCTTGGGGTGAATTTTGAAGTGCAAACAGTCATTGTTATTTTTCACATAGCCATTTGCCAAGGGAGATTTAAAAACTGCAGAAAGCTGCACTGATCCATATGAACAGCTATTGTCAACCAGAGCTTGAAAATGTTCCTGTTTTGATGATGATGATGATGTCTTCCAGAACTCTCTAGCCAATATAATCAATAGCCATGCTAGCTGGGGAATTCTGGGAGTTACAAGCCAACAAAATATTTTTTTCCAGGTTCTGGTTCTACTTGCTTTCATCTCAAATAAGAGCAGGCCTTCTGTAAAGCTAAGAGGCCCAATAGCCTAACTAGACTATATACTGTAACTCTCTGCAACTTTGTTCAAGGGAACAGGGAAGCTTGAGGTGATGGAGTGGCAGATAACATTAACGGATAATTATTTTATTTCTTTATTTTCTTTAAAATATTTAATCCATAAACCATGATGTTCTGGCCTTGTAAGTTTTTGCTCTACTACACGGCTTTTTCACTGTAGCTGTAAGGGCTGGTATTGGTGCTACCAAGAAAGGAGGGATACTGATGTTATACTTCTCTTCATCTTTGTGTCTCTCCATTTTGTCTGGGTCAACCCAGCTGGCAATATTTGCTTCTATGGTGAATGTTCCTATTATTGCTCCACTGAGCATGCTTTGTGTGGCAAACCTGATCAACTCGAGGGCTCTATGGCAGCCTTCCTGCCTGACAAAGAACTTGCTGCCCGACAGTCCTGGAGGAGTCCCTGGAGGCGTTCTTACTCCAAAACTAAAAAAGCTGAGTGAGTATGTTAAGGAAGCAAGAAACTGCATGGTGTAGACTTGGGAGACCTGGATCTAATCCCCAGCCAGCAGAGGACACTGAGTGGGTGGGGGTGGCAATGGTAAACCATTCCCAATTCTGCTGTTTGTTTATTTAAAACATTTTTATCCCGCCTTTCTTAAAAAGAACCCAAGGCAGCATCTCACGCAGCTTGTAAAACCCAGCAGAGTCACTGTACATCAGAAGTGATTCAAGAATACAGAACAAGAATGTAAAAAGTCAGTATGACTTTTTTAAAAAAGATAAAAAGTAAAAAAATATTCTGGATCAGGGGTACAAAAAGTTGAAAGAAAGTCCTGGGTAGAAGGGATCAGGTCAAGAAAGCTGTTAGGGTAGGACTTTAAGAAAATGGTGAACTGATGTATGGAGCCAGGGTGAGAAATTTATATGGGCCACTGCAGGTCCATTCCCAGCCCTCTACTTGGATGTTGTCATCAGACCTCCTCATGTCAATTCCGTACTCCCTTTGCCTTGCCTTTTCCCCATCAGAAGCATGCCTCTGAGAGCAGCTATGCTCTCAGAACCAGCTATAGGGGTGACAGGAACATCCCATCAATCTATTATGGTTCTTTCTGAGCTGGTAGCCTGGGAGAAATTTGCCTTTTGTCCAATTACTTTTTTTGATATTCAAGAAGATAACCAGATGTCTAGACAGTCCCTTGTGAGCATGTGTATGGATGGTGATTTTTTTTGTGCATGTGTAAACCATCTTAAACAGGGATGTGGTGGCACTGCGGGTTAAACTGCAGAAGCCTCTGTGCTGCAAGGTCAGAAGACCAGCAGTCGTAAGATCGAATCCATGCAACTGAGTGAGCTCCCGTCGCTTGTCCCAGCTCCTGCCAGCCTAGCAGTTCAAAAGCATGCAAA